CCACCTGTATATCATGTATTTAAAAGCAAAACTTTCAAGTACAGACTGTGTAGCTGAGGAGCTTAGGGATATTCATTCATCATTATCAGTTCAGTCACAGCTCCCTGCCCTCCACACATTCATCGAGTCTTCCTGTGTTGATCTTACAGGTGAGAACATCCTCTTCCTAACAGCTAAAGCAGATTAGGAAGCATTACAGTGTGCAGTGGGAGCATTAGAGAGAGGTGCATTAAAACTATCCGCCTCAGTCTGGCTGGACTTTAGCGTTTGAGTCTGTGAAACTAAGGCCATGAGAGTTACACACCACTCATTACACTTGCCGTTTTCAACTCTGACTCATTGTTTATTGTTTGTTATGTATTCACTGCTGCTCTAAATTGGTTGTAACATTTGAACTGGGACTTGTTTTTTTTTTTTACAGCTGCATTGTGTCTCACACTGTCACATCTCGTTACAGGAAGTGTTTGCATATTTAAAACAAGTTGAGTGAAATAGCTTCCACGGATGTATTACAGTGGCGTTTCAAGAAAGACAGTCCCTTAGTTTTGGTATAATACCTCTGTCTGAACACCAGTGATATCAGCTGCTGCACACACAGCGAACAGGTGTTGAGAGAAACCAGGTTTCCTTCTTACAAATCATCTGGCCAGTTCAGTTTCAAATCAACGTCCTTTGGTGAAAATAACTGGCATCATTCAGACTTTTTATCAGAACAGACTGGATGCGTGAGCGGCACATGTGCGTTGCAGAATCTCTTGCATTTCATTTTGGTGCCCATGTTTTAGGAGTCCCACCTATTTCGTCTGCGTTCAGCACGTGGCTCACAGAGATGTTTTACCACAGTTTTGATTTTGATATCTTATTATATACATTAAAAATAAATATTTGCAACACTTGTACCCCAAAGTAACTGGTTCAGTTTTTCATTTATCTCTATTTCTTTGCGACTCACCTTTCCCACCATGTGTTGCAGGTACTAAAGGAGCAAGAGGTGCAACACTTCCTGTATTTGTACCTTTGGTGACATCAGCAGTGATGTCACTGGGAGCAACCATGTGTAAGGGGAGATGCAGTTGGAGATGCAGTTTAATTAAGCTCAGTTAACTGTTATTTTGTTTTCTTTGCTTTGTTCATAATTTTTGTGACACGTAACATGGGACCATTTTTTATTTTTTTTTTAATAA